TCATTAAGATCATTGTAAAAAGCAAACCAGATGACTTTGTGCCTGAGCAATTTGCCCTGATGCTTTGGCAAAATTGTGCTGGCAATTGCCATCCCATTCAGAATATAGGACCTGAGCCAGTGCTCACTGAAACTCATTGACTGTTTTCCCAAACCCCACCCCCCTCATATGTTGATTTAATGGGGTTGGGGTTGGCCCAATAGGGCCGCTTTCAGTTACACTGATGCAATTGCACCCGTGTAACAGAGCAGAAAATGGTCCATCTTATCCCAGTCTATCTCTACTTGTCTTCCGTTTTGCAAAGGGTTGTAGCAAAGAAAAGGGTGTTTGCTGCCTAGTTGCTGATCTGACAGTGAAGGAATCAGGGAGGATCGATGCTATAAAAATGGCTTTACCCAGCTGAGGGCAATCTAGACACTGAAAGGGATCCAGACCAAATTAAAATAATGGCCCAATTCTGCTCCACAACATAACTCCCACGGCCTTTAATAATGCAGGATAAGACCTTAAATACTTGACAAAAGTGAGCTGTACCTCACAGCCGTTTTTGTGCAAAAACCCGTGGAGCGTCCACACCTCAAGCATGTGTTTGCGCAAGAAAATCTAGAGTCAATCATCAGAACAGAGGGGTAGGTATAACTCCTTCTATAAGGCATCACTCCTTTTTGCGCAAGAGTTCTTGCACAGAAAGGTGTGTGTGGATGCGCAACAGGTTTTCTTGCGGAAAAAGAGCCTATCACAAAAAGCACAGGTGCTCTGATGGTCATTCTGTGAATGGCAATCAGAACTTTCTTGCACAAGAGCGTCCATGCAGTGTAGACAGACACTCTCTTGCACAAAAGCACATCGCTTTTGCAATATGCTTTTGAGGTGTGAACGCGCTTTTGCGCAAGAAGTTTTTGCTGAAGATCTCCCCTGCAAAAAGCTTCTTGCCCAAAAACCCTGCAGTGTAGAATCAGCCTAAGAGCCCTTGGTTTGGGGATTAGGTTGCTCAGTGGTTAAAGCAGAGAAGTGCGGCTCCAGCAACTTCAGTTCAATTGCTGTTTTAGGTCAGCTCATCAGTGAAAATGAATCCTGTGGTTTCATCTGAGTGCTCAATGGACATCTGCCTAGCTCCTAAAACAAGCAGACTTTTTGGCACAATTGAGCGTGATTGGCAAGCGCTTGGGAGATTGGGATTGACATAGAGAGGGATGCTTCAGGTCGGGAGAGGGCTGCAGCTGCAGCACTGTGGGGTGCCCAGGACAAGAATAGCAAGGGTCACTACAGGTCAGGATGGAAATGAATGACTTGAAGGTGTCATGAGGGTTTAAAAGGTCATTCCCCTCCCTGCTGCACCTCCCAATACAGAGGGCAGGAATGTTATGTGCTCCTAGAGAGGGGAGGATGGTCGCTGGCAGCCTGACTTGGAAGCTACAGCAGAGGGTTCGCTTGCTCAGCAGCCAAACAATAAGGTAAGTCACCCATTGAAGCTTTTGTTTAATTAATAATCTTTAAATCTCAGCTACCCTGCCAAAAATACCCTTTCCTACCAATAGGTGTCAGCAAAGAGCACAGCTGATCACACTGCTCAGTGTAGACAAAGATAACCAATGTTCAGCATCGCTTTTAAAACCGTGAACAGCGGAACCTCAGAGTTACCAACCCCTAGGGAGGAAATGGGGCTGTTCATAACTCTGAAATGTTTGTAACTCAACAAAACATTATGGTTGAACTTTCAAAAGTTTACAAGTGAACATTGGCTTAATACAACTTTGAAACTTTACTATGCAGAAGAAAAATCCTGCTTTCTCTTTATTTTTTTTAGTAGTTTACATTTAACACAGTACTGCACTGTATTTGCTTTAAAAAAAATGACTCGGCTGCCTAAGGGAGTATTTCCATTTCCAAATGAGCTGTGTAGTTTACTGATCAGTTTGTAACTCTGAGGTTTACCGTAACGCTCAAGTTCAGGAGCGTGCTCTGTACTGATACCTCTTGTTGGCAATGGTTCTTTCTGTAATGGAGGCAAGACTACGGTGTGCTGAGCTATAAGAAAAAGAAAACAATAAAAACCCACTATGGGTTCTACACCCTGCATTTTAGCCACTGAGTGGAGTGAAGGAAGCTCTGTGTCTCTCATTTGCTGATGAGGTGGTAGGGTTGCTGTTTTAGAAGGGTCATTTGATAGCTGCTAACAGCACCCAGGCTCAGCACATTTGTGTGAATGGCAACTTTCCCCATTTCTTCCGAGTATCTCTCTCCGCTTTACCATGCAGCAGAGTCAGACTGCATCAGTATTCAGCACATCTCAACCTGAATGTTGCAGAAATGGCTGTGTCATAAATTCAGTACTATGACTTTGCTGCATCAGAAGTTTATGCTTCCAGGATCTCGCTTTCATTCTCGTTATTCTGGTGCTGTCCTCAGTATCCCGACCTTCCATCTTCCGCAGTGATGCATCCTAAATAGCAGTAATTTGTCATATGCGGTACAGCTGTGTTGTTCTCTGTGGTCTGATGTGGCTTCCCAAGATCCTAGCAAACCAGAGTTTTTGTCCCATATGAAGAGAGATTAAAAAGACTGGGACTTTTCAGCTTAGACCTCTGTCCTATCACCCCTCAGTCTATCCTATGCCAGCTCTTTGAGGGTTTAAAATGTTTACTCTGTATATAGATGGCATAAAGTTTGCAGCAGTATGTAAGTGACTTAAGAGCCTTCACAAATTTTACTCTGTAAGTCATTATCTGTACTCTACAGAACAAAATATGACAATTCCTGACATCAGCTCCGGTACTGCAGAGACTTTGTATTTCATACTTCAAGAATGGCCTCGATGTAGAGGTAGTGGTTAACTATTATGCCTTTGCCATGGCGGACAACTTGTACGGTTTTAGAAGAAGCGATCAAGGATTAGAAGATGGGCTAGTTCAGCTGAGCACAATTACAATCAGCTGAACTAAGGGGAGATAGGATAGAGGTCTATAAAGTCATGACTGGCATGGGAAAAGTGAATAAGGAAAAGTGATTTATTTATTCCCCCCAATAGAAGAACTGGGGGTCACCAAATGAAATTAATAGGTAGCAGGTTTAAAACAAATATCTACTGGGCTAGATGGACCTTGGGTCTGACCCAGCATGGCCATTCTTGTGTTTGTTTGGGCCACATTCAATTCTAGACCCTATTCTGCAGTTCATGTCGCTTGAACTTCCCATGGTCCTGCCATGGGGGCAGGGGACTGGACTCAATGACCTCTCGAGGTCCCTTCCAGTCCTAGTGTTCTACGATTCTATGGCTCCAGTAAGCCTTTCTACTCCCAATATGTCCCACTGGATCAACTCTCCTCTGCCACTCCCAATATGGCCTCCCAGTGGCTCAACTCTCCTCTGCCACTCCCAATATGGCCTCCCAATGGATCAACTCTCCTCTGCCACTCCCAATATGGCCTCCCAATGGATGCACTCTCTTCTGCCACTCCCAATATGGACTCCACCTAGGTCCATTCTCTGCCACTCCCAATATGGTTGCCGTCACGGACCGCTGTCCTTTGCCACTCCCAATATGGCCTCCCATTGGCTCCAAATCTTTACTCCGCAGGCGGCTTTCCATTGGTTCTGTCTCCCCTCTGCCCCTGGTAATATGGCCGCCCAGTTGTTCCACCTCTCTCTGCCCAAAATGTCCCTCCGTGGACTCCTAGGTCCATTCTCTGCCACTCCCAATATGGTTGCCGTCACGGACCGCTGTCCTTTGCCACTCCCAATATGGCCTCCCATTGGCTCCAAATCTTTACTCCGCAGGCGGCTTTCCATTGGTTCTGTCTCCCCTCTGCCCCTGGTAATATGGCCGCCCAGTTGTTCCACCTCTCTCTGCCCAAAATGTCCCTCCGTGGACTGCAGCCCCCAGCCTGGCCACTCCCAACATGGCGGCCGAGGCGGGCTTTAGGGCCGTCTCCGCCTTGCCGGTTCCGTCGCAGTGGCTTGTGGGATAGTGGCGGCGGGTGTCAGCGCCCAAGATGGCGGCGGCCGTAGTCGGTGTCTCCTTGAGGCGCAGCGTCTCCCGGGTG